ATTTCAATGATGAACAAACGATTATCAGATCGTGGCAGGTGCGGAGCCTACCGGCAGGTTGTGTTTTATCGCACAACATTGGAGGGATATAAGTTCAAGAACTTGCCAATAGATGGCAAACGTGTCACGTTCAAAAGAATTTTCTTACTTGGACTTAAAAAAACAAGATAAATTAAATCACAAAATAGTGTCAGAACTTATTATCGCATTTCGAAAACTGATTTTTCGAAAATCTTACTGTTTTGATCGATTAAAATTCTATCACGTAGCTCATGATCTTTGCAGATAAAAGATCACTTTTCTAAGTGACACAAAAAACACAAATGTTTGCTAGAAAATTTTTATATTTACATAGTAATGTTAACTGAGAAAAAAGAAGTTTATTTTATTTATGTCGTGCTATTGTCTCGTGTAAAAAAAAATAATTTTTTATCCATGAAACTTGTCGTAAATTTTTGACAAAACCGTCATAAAATGTGTGCGAACGAGATTCTTCATGTCTCTGAACAAAACAAAATTCTCCTGCGCAGATAAAGTGCAAATCGTTTTACTACGCGGTTAAGGCGGTTATAGGTTTGCATAAGTACTGACTGCGCGCAACTTGCAAATGACTCCCGTCATATGTAATCTCTCCTCACGGGAGACTGATACCTACATCATCAAACACCTGTACGTATGTCGATATCCAGCGTTGTCCAAAGGTGCGGTTGTAACGTTGCAAAATGTCATACAAATGTTTTTTCACCGCAAAGTGCATGTTCAAGGACGCGCAATTTATTGGCGAATAAACATCTTTATGTATTGGAATAATTTTACAACAACACAGAATGTAAAAAAAATCTCGTAAACCGGACAGAGTTAATAAATTACGTAAATCTTGTCGAAATTTGTTTGCGACAAATTAATCTTCGATAAAGTCTGAGAAAAAAAATTATGTTTGCTTCTCAGAGTTCGAGTCTGCGCCCACCGATGATCTGATATTTCACAGCAAGGGCAAATTATAATTGTAAATTATATGTTACAAGATCTTCTCGCGTAACACTGTCGTATGTGATTCTCGTATAACAATGAATTTTACGTAAGCCGGCTTCTCACGATTTTCCACCGCGAGTAAACCCTGGAAAAATTTTGCGATTGTATCAACGTCGTGTGCCGATTTTTCGCAGACTTTGTGTTTTCATACTGTATTTTTTTCTCTCGTATATGTTTTGTATTTAATTAAAGTAAAAACAACAACACTTGTATACCGGTTATTTGGAGTTTTTTGTCGCACGTATCGTTGAAAAGTAAGCGTGTCGGTGTTACGCTTCGTAATTAAAGGAGTAATATCGATACGCACATTACGTCGTGCGCGTCGGCAGACGAAAGTAAAAGTTGTCAGATATATCTCGATTCCGGTGGAGAAACAAAACAGGCTGTATACGTGTCCGAAATTTGCGTGACGAGAGAGAAAAGGGACAGGACATAAGTGTGTGACGGAATGCGCGGTGGAAAGGACGCGGCACAGGAAGGAGGTTGAAGTTGTGGATAACCGAGAGCTGGAGCATGTGCCGTCGCGAGTCTCGCGTGTAACGAGCTCCAGCGACGCGCGGGGTAGCATCCGCGTATAGGCATTCGTGGGGCTGCATTGCGTGAAATGAGGTTTTAACGCGAATGAGATTCTTCGTAAAAAAGGCGCTGCGATGCGTAATTAAAACGAGATTGAGGGCGTGATGTTTGTTACTCAGTTAATAAGCGAGTCGCGACTGTTTTTCATTTTTTTTTTTTTTTAAANAAGACCACTCGACCAGATTCGGGAGATGTAGATANAANAAAAAAAAAAAAAAAAAAAANAAGTTTTTAACATAAGTTACATGCACAGAGAGGAAATAATTCAATTGATATTATATGAAAATATTTTGCGTTAATAATCGACTGATAAAACAATCATGGATAAAATCTAAATTTCGCGAAACATGGAGTGGTAAACTTAATTATCTTTGGACAAAACTCATCGCAAAACTATATATATTTTTTTATATATATTTGTTATTTCTCACGACAGAAGAATAAAAATCGCGCGAGTTTGCCGAATAAAACACATCTGGAAAAACTGACGCTGCAACAATAAAATTCAGAAACTACCTTTTGATGTATCGTCGTTGATAACACACAGAATATATCATCGACAACCGCAGTATATGTTGCGTGTCGTCCAAGCGTTTCGATTACGGACAAACTTGTTTTCATCACACACCCGGTCTGCCAATATCGGTTTACGGGACGTATATATCGAAGTGCATGAGAAATCGTCTTCACATCGGAAGACATCATCTGTGTCTCTTTTCGTACAGTTCGATATCGGTACTCGATGTAACTGCTGTCGTTCTGGCCGCGGTGATATCGCTCATGTCTCGCGATCAGATAGCGTTCACGAAGAGCCGGGCTCTTCAGATAAGAGGAACGTGACGCGCCGGACGAGTACACGCGTCACTCATCAGAAACGGAGGAGCAAGTGGATCGTGGCACGGAAATCGGATCGACGATCGCGGAACATTATTGTTTCGGTCTTCCGGCTTATCAGTACGACTGGCAATTTGTGTGTTTTGTAATTTGCAATTGAATTACGAAACGATCGATTTATATTCTCCGTGTCACGATGCAAATGTTTAGAGGAATGAATTCAATGCAGTTGTGGCGATAGAGAAAAATCGTCTAGAATTAAAAAAGTGTAACCGTTTGATGCGCACAGTTACGATTATTAGGAGACGGTAAACTTTCAGAAAACTGTAGAATTAAGAAAACTGATCTCATTTGTGTTAGATCAATTTTCCTCCCCCATTCTAATCATCTATTTACATCTTACTTCTATTGAACTATTTTCGTCATTAACCAACTCGTAAGTGTCAACTGTTTTCGGATCAAGTCCGTCTAGTTCGATCAAGACCAGTTCGGTTTAGTCAATGATTCGAATTGCATCAGTGCGTCTCTCCGAGAGCAGATAGGTGCAGGTTCGCGGACTCGGTGCAAGGGAGGAGGACGCGGGAGGAAAAAGGAAGAGCACGCCGCGCGGTATAGTAGGTGGAATCCCGAGGCGCGCGCGATGCTATCGCTCGTTCGGTGGTTCCGCGATGTTAGGTCGGTGGCGCCATGCTGGAATCGCGATTGGTCGCTCCGGCGGTCTCGTGGGCGTGGCATGCGACGCGGGTGGGGGTGCAGCAAGGTGACCCTCTGCGTCACCAAGTAGATAGAAGCTGGTGGCTGGCTGGTCTGCCCGGCCGACCCATGGAAGTTTACACTCCTCTACCGGGCCCACCACCACCGACCTGCGCCTCCACTCTTCGCATCTATGCCACGCTCTCCTGACTTATGCTACGCCCGGCAGGTTCGCCAGTACACGATACGCTTCTACGAGGCGAGCACCGCATCGTTCGCGCTCGTTCCGCGAACCCGTCAGGGTATTCCGCCACCTTACCCTGTCTACCCACTAGGTCTCGCTAGCTCACATTTACCAAGTTCCGGATTGTTAGCATTGCCGAGGCGTATCGCGGCTAAATATCCCGAGACTGACGGATCTCGAGCGGCTTGCAGGATCGGTCGGTAGTTCGCGTCAATCAACTCGCTCCGACGGATCGTGAGGGTGAAGGAAGAAGGTAGGGGAAGAAACTTTCTCTCTCCCGTTCGCTATAGACAAGAAGGAAGGAGGGACTTGACACCGAGGGTGAGGGAGAGGGAGAGCGCGAGAGAGGGACGCGGATTGGCACACGTGACGCGATCAGATCAGGAAAGTCTGGCGATAAGTGTCCGGCTTCGGATCCGAGCGAGTTCTCGTCGCGGTGTCTCAAGTGTTCTGGTCAGAGATACACTGCGATACCGCGTCATGTGACTGTCACGCAACCGGATGACAGTAATATTGAGAGGTACCGGGTGTCGAGAAGGTTAGTGTCGGTGGTCGTCGAAGCAGTGAGAGTGAAATTTGCGTGAATCTGCAGTGAGGATGAGATAAGCGCGCAAATCGTCCAGTACACCGAGAATAAAATCGTTTCCATTCCATGTTAAACGCTTTAGTGACCTGAGACCATGTGATTGTTTATTGATTTCCGAACGTTGGTGACGTTCTTCGTGGAGTGTTTCGTGCTGACATCGCTGACTCTTTAAGTAGGTGAATGACTAGCGATTCCGGCGACAGTGAACTCGTTTTGTGTGTTAAGCCGAGGTGGAAAGATGATTTTTACACGGTGTACGGTGTGTCGCGAATTTCACATCAGCGTCGAAAACATTATCGTCGAGTCGATGGCCGAGTCAGACCAACCCTGAGAATTTTCTGACGACGCCAGGACTCTGAACTTTACAATTTCCGGTGATAGTTCTTTCTCTCTGCCGTCAAATAGCATTGAAGAAACTGTGACTCGATGAGTGATACATTGTAGAAAACGCGAATTAATTCTGACTCGCCAAGAGAATTCGTCTTCACGGGGGACACCGTTCGGCGTTGCTCGACGGGGCGAATTTGCAGCGGCAACAGCTGTCGCAGCTGCCGCGTGTCGTAATCGGCCGCGCGCGTACGGTGACGGTGTCATCAGGAGCAAGTGTCCCGACGCCAGCAGCTGGTGGCATTGGCACCGACGGTGACAGAGAATGACGTAGCGTCGTCGCTCGAGGCAAGGGGCGTCACGGTCTGCACGGTGTACGCGCTGGACAGAGCCGCCTCGGCGGGGCTGGGGGTGGTCGGTGTCGG